TTATAATTTAAAATTTAACTTTTGATTATAATAAATTACAAAGTAATTATACAAACAACTTTATTAGAATATAAAAAAGTATATTAAATAAAATTAAAGATGTTTAAAAAAAAAATAGACAAAAAAATTTTTTTTTTAAATATTTTATTTCGTTTAATTTGATTGGTTAACCCAAATTTTATCAGATCGGATTATAAGCTTGACCCGACCAGGGACAATAATTTTCTGCGGTGACAAAATGCTGATTCCATCTGTGCTAAAAATAAATTCTGTAAACTGCTGTGCATTAATAATTGTTTATATTCTGCAACAATTTTTTTAAAATTTTTATATATTCTGTAAAATTCTGTAAAATTTATTATAATTTTTACTAAACAATAAAGGTTAACTATTATTAAAATAGAGCATATTTAAACTGCGTAAAGATTCTTCAGATAAATTTTGCCAATTATCATCTAAGATTGAATTGTATTTACAAAAACTTTGTTCTACACTACAAGAAGAAATTGGTAACCATATGTAATCTAATGCTATTTGAGATAAAAGAGGTAAATATTCAGCTGCATTTAACCAATATTCATCTAATGTAACATCCATATTTGTTGTAGACCCACAATAAATTGACCATTCATGTAATAAATCATTAGATGGATTATCTAATTCTGTAATAATCCTATATTGACATATATCTTTTCTTGTTATATCACCGGAATGAATGAATTTTGGATTAAAAACTTGATATGCATAAAAAAGAGGACATTCAGAATGAGAAGGAATATGTGTTGCAAACTTTTCATATGCCACTTTAAATGCTTCTTAAAAAGTTATATAATAATGAATTGGCAAAGCATTATTTTCAATAATAATTAAATCCAAATCGGATCCAAAACTTGTTGCAACTATATTATTTTCTAAATAAGCTGTAAGATTTTGTAATTGATTTTCAACATAAGGAAATATTGGTTTTTCTTGTTGAAAAAAATCTAATGTACAAATTAATAAGAAAAAATAGAAATAAAATTAACATAAATTGTAATAGATCTAAATTGTTATGCATTAGAAAGAAAATTTGTAATAATTGATAACGCTTCTATTTTGTTTTTTCAAGTTTAATTTCAGTTTGAAAAAAACTAGGCCAATATGCAAGATGATCTTTTGTATAAAAAATCATTTTAAACCAAGAATTCCATCGTGTTTTATAAGGAAGAGGAATTTTTTGTGGTTGAGTAATCCCATGAAATTTTAAGTGATCTATGTATTGATGACGACGTGCTGGACTTCTAATAAATGTTTCTTTAACCTTTTCCAATAATATTCTAACTATTGAAAAACCTTTGAATGTGCGCCAAGTATCACTAAAAAAGTATTGTTTATTAGAGTTATTACTTATTAGATTTACAATAAATATATAAATAACATTAAATCTTACTTAATTAAGTTTAAAATATGTGCACAACAAGGAATGTGGATTAATTGTGGCATTAAAGGATGCAAAACTTTACAATGACATTTCTTCATATATGCTGCTGAATCTGTAAGAAAAAGTCTAGGGAGAGTAACTGGAATATCATATTTTGAAAGAATACTAATAAGAGTTTGATCCATAGTTACATTATTTACTCATATAAGAAAGTCTACAGAAACTAATTTCATATCTTTACTATATGCAAAAATGTATTAATACACGTCTTTGACAAGCATCAGTTGTTTCATCCATGATAATAGCAACAGGTTTTTGATAAAAAAGATTTTTAAGATCTTCTAAATGTAAAGAAAAAGTTCGAGATACATAGAATTGACGTAAAGTTGCTGCTTGTGAAATAGCATCACCCTCTTTACAGTGTTTTTTAAAAAAACTAAGCAAGGAATTTACTTTTTCTAAGGGGATATCTGCTGCAGTAAAAGCTTCAATTAAATCATGAATTATAATTTTTTTGGATTCAGAGGAAGAAAAAGATGTTACAAGTGTTTGTTGTTGTCGACGTTGTTTGTTTTCATATAAATATTTTTTATTTTTATGTGAGATACTATTAAGATGGTTATCAATCGTTGATTTTTGTACCCAATCAACAGAATGATCACAAAAGTTACAAAATAAAAGTCTATCATCAACGCGAAATTTACCTGGATATTCATCTATTCTAGTATTAATAGTAACTTTTGCTTTTAGACCTCTTTTTCTCTTCATTACAAAAAAAAAAAGTTTTAAAAAAGGGAGCAAAAAAATCGATGATCATGTTACACTTATTAAATCCCTTTTATACCATTTTCGGTGATATTTTTTATAATTATTAATATATTCTTCATCTGAAGATTTATTCCGTAAATTTTGTGAAAATCTGTGAAATGCAGAAAATCATTGTCCTTAGACCTGACCTGATGTTGACCTGAAAATTTGTCTACCTGACCTGGATTTTTCAGAACTCTATTCTCTCTCTATCTAAAATATATTTATTATTACTTATATTAAAAAATCCTACGCATTTATCAATTCCAATGACTTCAAAAAATTGATAACTACTAAAATATTTAAAATATAATTGTCCATAATTATCTGGCTTATAATCAAGTTTACACACATATGCAAATATATAATCTTGTTCATTATATTTATGTACAATATAATATTCTACTGCATTATATATTTCCTCAATTTCAAGTATTCGAAGAGCATTATGATGATAAGCATTTTTATTAGTAGTAATATTAATCTAAAATAAAAATAAATATTATTAATTAATTAAAAATTATAATTATAATAATAATTATAAATA